CCAGCCAGGCCCAAAAAACTGCGCAACTCTTTGACTGAGCTTGGCATGGGCCATTGAAGTACAGCAAACACTTTATCAGGATCCGTCGCGACACCCGCTTCAGAAATGATATGACCGAGATAGTGTAATTGCCGCTGCCCAAACACACTTGGATCGCTTGACCAGCCAATGATCTCTCTATAGTAGATGAAAGACCACTCTAAGGTGCTCCAAGTGTTCCTCATATGTTCTGCTATAGATTAGAATATCATCAAAGAATACAAAAGCACAACGGCGCAATAATGGTGCTAGAGTTGTGTTCATCGCCTTCAGAAATGTACCGGGTGTCCCGGACAGACCAAAAGCCATCACACGAAATTCAAAATGTCCAGTGTGTGTCTGAAAAGCTATCTTCGGTTCTTCACCTAGCTTCAACAGTATCTGATGGTAGCCTGCAGTCAGATCAAGACTGGAAAACCAGCTTGCACCTGAGAGTTCATCCAATAGCTCTTCAATAATAGGAAGAGGGTACTTGGATTTGATAGTGATGGCGTTTAAATGGCAAAAATCCACACAAAATCTTTCTTTTTGACCAGCAAGACAGGCGAAGAGAATGGACTGTCACTTGGTTGTATTACCCCTGAATCTAACATGGTCTAAACTTGCCGCTCAATTTCATCTTTAATGGCAGGGGGATAGCGGTATGGCCGAATGCAGACCGGCGAAGCCCTCGACACCAGAGGGATAGTATGATCACACTCGCGTTGAGGTGGCAGTTGGGTGGGTGCTTGAAAGATAGACTGAAATTCCTGTAGCAGATCAGACAATGCTGGAGGTAGTTCAACAGAAGTATCAGCTTCACAGGCTTGAACAACAGTCAACTGCACCATAGAACCGGCTGGTAGAGCAGCCCCAGTGCCGAGCAACACTGTCACCATGTTGGCATAAGGGCCCATTTTTCTTGCCAGTGAATCTTCATTAGGCTATGAAGCTCGAGCCAGTCCATCCCCAAAATCATATCAAATGTTGTAAGAGGAAACACTTTCAAAGAGGTGTTGAACTATAAGCCCTGAATAGACCATATAGCATCAGGTAAATAAGAGTCACACTGCACAGTAGCACCATCAGCTACCTTCACCCACATAGGAGTACCACCACTCTGAATTCTAGCAAGAGAAGCTGCTAATGATGAGCTGACAAAAGAATGTGAACTGCTCGAATCAAGAAGAATGACCACCGAATGACCCTGCAGCTCACCCTGAAACTAAATGGTACGAGGAGTCTAGATACCATGGACTGCATCAACAGAGATAGAAACATAGCATTGAGCTTCAGGAATACCACCATCAGATGCTTTAGAGTACACAGAGTCATCAACTTAGCATAACTCCCATGTTTCCTGCAACACATGCAGAGCAATCTGCTTCGCGCAACGATGGTCACGAGACCACTTCTCACCGCAGCGATAGCAGAGGCCACGGGCTCGCCTATAGTTACACAGAGTGGTGAGCTTGTCTTCCACTCCATGCAGCCTACGATCTTCAGGAGGCGGCGCTCCCGCGGGCTGAGCTAGCTTGTCGGGCCGAGGTGGTAGCGGCAGTGGCAATGGCCCACGGGGAACGTGCTTGGCGCCGACATACGGATCCGGCTTCCGAGGCTCCTGGCGCTTACTCGAGTCGGTCATCTCCTCCTGTAACAGGGTGAGAGAGCAAGCAGTATTGAGTGTTGTTGGACGATGCATATGCACAGCTTGACGGATATCATCGCACAGCCCATCAACGAACCGCATTGCAAAGTACACTGGATCGGTATGGCGACCATATGCGATGAGATGCTCGACCAAACGTGAAAACTTATCCATGTACTCAGACACCCAGTCATGCGAATGCTGAAGAACTAGCGAATGAGTAACTCATGGTGGTCCTTGCCAAAACGATCAAGCACCATGTGGCACAACGTTGACCAGGACGCAGTGCGAACACTATCCTCAACCGATTGCAACCAAAGCTCAGTGGCATCCGACATCTGACTGCCCGAGACACGAACCCACATATACTTCTCGACTGAATACATCTCAAAATGATCCTGACAGCGAGACAACCAAAGTTTGGGATTTGCACTCGTGAATTTGGGAAAATCCATCTTTGGCAGCCTACCTAGAGGATTGTGGTGATGTTTCCTATCCCAGTTGTGATGATTTGGTTGGTTGCTACTTTCCCACGAAACTCAAACGGACGAGGATTGGGTTGTGTGTTCCCCGCCCCACGCAACTCAAACATGCGGTGATTGGTAGTATTTTGAGGCTGTGGAAGTGCTTCCTTTTCCCGCACTGTGCTCCAACGGAGGGCGATTGAGGTTGAACAGAGATGGATGCGAAGCAGGACGAGGTAGAGGTTGGGCGGAAGTGGAAGTTTGCGTACCCTTGACCGGGGGTGGGGTTTGAATCCCGGACTCCCGGTGATGCAGTTTGACGCGGTGCCCATTAGGGCCGACAACTGGGTTACCGGTAGGTGAGGATGCTGCGGCCACCCCAGCACGGTTGAAGACGCTCACCGATGTGGCAGGGTCGCCATCGAGCACCACTCGATGGAAGGTCTTGTGCATCGCCCCCATCTCCATGCAGATGTTGTCGATGCGCGGCTTCTAGTCGTCGAACACCTTGTCGGCATGCTCCATGTCGTCGAACCGGACGGCTAGCTTCTGCTCCACCACCGTGATGCGGTCCGATAGCGAGATCTATAGACCGTTGACGTCGCCGCGGACGCCCTTGATCTGGTCGTTGATGTCGTTGCGGAGGGACTTCAATTCATCGAGGACGAGCTTGAAATTTGGTTCCACGGCGCCCAGTTCTCGGCGGAAACGGGTGAAATGATCGTGGTGGATGGAATGGGGTTCCAGATTGGTGTGGTGGGAAATTCTTCTACCGAGCAAATCAACCTCGGATCGGACCTATGAGACCTCATGAACTTCAACCGAAGCTGGAGACAAAGATCGATCTGCCGACGGGGATTACGATTTCAGATCGAGGTAGAAGAATTCGAGGAAAGAAGGCCAAGGATCGGGGGTCTCTGATACCAATTTGTTAACAACACTCTCGGATAGATGGGAATTTAGGGTAGAGAGCACAACAAAGGGGCAGGAACGAATGAGTACTTCATTAGAGTTCAGGAGTTCATGGTTCAAATGATCGATGCCGATTACAGAGCAGGCACTGCCCTTTTACCGTTCGCAGACGGGGAGACGAGAGTCCCAATGAGTCACGCCATCTCCACGTAATGGACCTAAGCTGGGCCGGTAGTCTTCGGGTTGGGCTTCCTTGTACGACGAGGCCTTGGCTCTTCAGGCCCATCAGCGCCGGGTCCATCCTTGGTCGTCTCTTCTGCTTCCCGGTCGTTACCATCGGTAACACCGTCCTCCAATCTTCGTGTGGCTATAGTGGGGGTGCCTCGCGCCCGCGTGCTCCAATTACAGCCACGCTTCCCTCGCGTAATAATCGGGGCACCGTGTGTTCACTTCACAAGCTAATTAAGGCATGGTTGGCGAGTTGCCAGTTTCGGGTGCCGCTGCAGCGACGCCAGCTAGCTGGGAAAACAAGCTGCTTATCCCGATGAAGGGATCGCGTACGTCCCCGGTTGGGGCGGTTGGCCACCTTGTTAGCGTCGATATGATGGAGAAGGTAACCCGCCTTGTTCGCGCTGGCTGATGGAATTTTCCGGTCGAGCGAATTGGTAACAGACGCGGCTGCTAGGTGTCCGTCGTGGCCTCATGCACGGCAGCCAAAAGAAAATGACGCGGGGCCGGCGCACGGCTACGAGTTCCCCATGTCGACATGCAAATCTGGCCAGAGAAGACGTCGCTCACTCGATTTAGTATTCTCCCTCTCGTCTTTCAGCAATTCAGCTCCTTGGTGCTAGCATCAGTCTGTCAGAGGGGTGGTATGTAGACGGTTGACATGGACAGGCGAGGGAGAGACGGAAAAAAAAGGAATGGCCATGCTAATCCAGACAGCTCAGCGTCCGAAAGCGACGCCATTCGCGGCGAGCTCGGCTTTAGTTTTACTGATTGACCGACGGGGAGTCGGGGAGAATCAAGCTGAGCGTTCGTGCGGTAGACGGGAGACGGCGACGACGGTTTCCAAGTTCCAAGCCCCTGCGGCCGTCCATCGTACGCCAATCCCGGCTGGCTGTAGTCGGCGGTGCTTGCGCGCGCGCCGACGGTTGGTTTTGGGCGGTTTCGCTTCGTTTCCTGCTAGATCGTATCCCTTGGCTGCGCGTCGGCGTCGGCGTCGGCCTCGGTCAGCCCGGGCGGCTGGCTACCTGCCCCGGTCCCAATCCAAACCCAACCCACCCCACCCCGCCCGACGGAACAACCAGCACACGACCCGTCCGTGCGACCGCGTCGTCCTAGATAGAAATCCTAGCGCACTAAAACGGGACCATCCTACCCCTCGGCATCCAGCCGTGCGCCGGCTCTCTGGATCCAGCCTTTACCGCTCCAGACGCACCCAGCCCGTGGCCCGCAGCGCGCCATGTTGTTCACGTTCCTTCGCCGTTCCCGCCAGGGAGCGCGCCCAGCGGCCGAGGTCGCGACAGGTGGCCCAGCCGAAACCGGGAGGCAGGCACGCGAGGCCGGGGCAGCGTCGTCAATATGACGACGCGACAACGAGGCCGAGGCCGGAAATAACACGCGGGGCGGGCGGGTCGCTGTCGCTGTTGCCTTTGCCGCTGCGCTTGCGCGTCCGCGGAAGGGGACGCGTCCCCGTCTTCCCACTTCCCCCGATAAAAACCCGGGCGCCTCTCGCGTCCATTCCTCGCTCGCTCCCCTCCCCTCGGATCACAGGCTCACGGCCGGCCTCCCAATTCGCAAGCTCCCCCTCCTCCTCCGTCTCTCTCTCCCTGCCTCTCCCACCCTCCGAAAAGCAAGCTCCGGCCGGGCCGCCCGCCCCACCGCCCGCCCGCGTACACACACACACAGACACAGGCACGGTTGTTCGGGTTCCTTTTGCCAGGTGCACGACGAGCATGGCGCAGCGCGACAAGAAGGAGGAGCCCACGGAGCTCCGGGCGCCGGAGATCACGCTGTGCGCCAACAACTGCGGCTTCCCGGGGAACCCGGCCACGCAGAACCTGTGCCAGAGCTGCTTCTCGGCGGCCACGGCGTCGAGGTCGTCGTCGTCGTCGCCGCCGCCGCCGCCCCCTACCTCCTCTTCCTCAGCTTCAGCGCCGGCGGCCGCGGTGTCGCAGCCGAGGCCGGCGCTCGTAGACGCAGCAGCGGTGGAGCTGCAGGCCTCTCCGGCTGCTGCAGCCGTGGGCCAGTCTATGGAGGTCGTCGCCGCCGCTCCGGCCGCAGCGAGGACGTCGGTGAACCGGTGCTCCAGCTGCCGGAAGCGGGTGGGGCTGACGGGGTTCCGGTGCCGGTGCGGCGAGCTGTTCTGCGGCGCGCACCGGTACTCAGACCGGCACGGCTGCAGCTTCGACTACAAGGGCGCCGGCAGGGACGCCATCGCCCGGGAGAACCCGGTGGTGCGCGCGGCCAAGATCGTTAGGTTCTGATCGACGACGGCGGCGGAGGCAGTAATTGCAAGAAGATTCAAAGGGCGGGCGGAAGGGGAAAGCCGGAAAGGCATGCAGATGAAAGAAAGAAAGGTCTTCGGTGTTATTATGCTGTTCTTGAACGTGTTTGATTTTAATCTCCTTTTTTTTATATAATTTTCCTACGGGAATGGGAGGAAAAGAGGTGGACGAAGAATAGTGTAATAATGGTGGTGGTGGTGCTGTGGCGGTGGTTAAGGGCCCAAAACGATGAACAAATGGGTTGGGCTGGGTGTATGTATCTGTCACACGCAACTTTGTGCAAAAACTATTACTATACTACTAGTAGTACATTTCTCGTCTCTCCGATTTTCGTACAGAAAACACCAGCACAAGCGATGATTGCTCAATCATTCATCAGGCTCGTAATCATCTCTGCCGATCCCGTATTTCCTCCGCCTTGACTTTTTCAGACCGAGCATGAGAATTGAGAAGCAATCAACTCCTCTTTCCGCAGAAGAATTATGCCCCCGTGTGGCCCACCTGCTCCATAATGGAACCGCATTATCGCGCCGCGGTCGGCACATAGTCATCTCCCGGGGCGGCTGGGCTGGGTCCCGTGCCCGTGCCCGTGCCCGTCGCCGTGTCACGCGTCGTCCCCCCCGGGTCGCTGTCGCGGACGCCACATGGACCGGCCGCAGTGGAGACGCATGCCACCCGCCGTCCTCCTCTCCTCCCCGCTCGAGGCGCGCCATTGGCCGGCCGGCCAACCGCTCGTCTTTCTCGGCGCAGTTGCCATCGCAATCGCAGCCCTGACGGGCGCCGGCTGCTGGCCGCTGACTTGTTCACCCCTGCTGATCCGTGATCGCCCGTCGTTAATTAATTATTATCACGTTGATAGATTATTGCTGATGGTTGGCGAGTTGTGCTGTTCCTCGTCGATGCGTCGAGACTCGAGAGGCTTGCTAATTCGGCTGCTCGATGCGCTGCACGGCAGCGGTCAGCGCAGCGCATTCATTCAACTGGTAGCTTGTTGCTTCTTGTTTTCGCTAGGTGCTGCAGTTTTTTATTCAACAGGCGCGTGGCAGCAGCGACTAACAACTGTTTTACAGTCCGTACAGACTGTAAACTTTTACCTGAGTTGTTTTATTTTTTAGAGTTCACCTGAGTTGTTTTATCTATGTGTAAAATTGTTGGCCAGTATTTTGGTGCAATGTTTTCGAGGGTTCACACTGATAGGCCGGGTGCATCATAATAATCGCCAATTTTTCAGGTACCGCCAAGATGATGGATCATTCTACTTCCGGGTTTGACGTGGAAGCGCCTCCATATGGTGAAGTGTCCACCTTTCCAAAGCAGAGCCGAGCACGGATGAACAGGTCGTAGTATCTTTGGATTTATTAAAAAAAGGAAACACGCAGTCCTTTTCTAGAAGTTTCGAACTGGAGCTTCAGGAGGCACCAGCTACGGGCCACGGCGAAGTCAAAGTTCGCAAGGCTGAGCCCAGAAACTTTGTCGGGCCTGAGCGAAGCAGTTTTAGCCCACGTCTGTCTCGAGTCGGGAGGAGGCCGGAGCCCATGTCTCCAAGAGGCTCACCTGAATTTTTAGCCCACTCCTCTCGGCGGGCGCCGGGAGCAGAGTTCCTTTTGCGATACCTTGTGGCCTTGTGGGCTATCGCCTATGGGTCACGCCAGAGAGCGCCTACCTACGGACCCGGGTGGCGTGGAGTCCAGCGCCGACCAGCCAAATTATTTTTCCTATCGCGCACGAGCTCGCATGCTTCCGGCCCAGCTAGCGTTTCCTGCCCGGCCCATCTCACGTTCCCACCCGCGGGCTTCAGGCCTAGCTCGGGCGACCTGGCCCGTTGCCCTTCGAATCCATCCAGATGACAGAAGCAAGTAAATGCATGTAAAGGAGAAATAAAAAGCAAAAATAGTCCATGGCAAGATTCAAACTCAAGACCTGTTGACTCAAAGATGTCACTCCCCTCCACTATACCATATAAATGTTTGTTATACTTGTAAAATAGTTTTATAATTAAATAAACATACCATATAAAGTCTAATAAAAAGGTATTCAACTAGAATATATCACACAGGTATAATAATAATAATTGTAAAATACATCGTTATGAAAAAATAAAGAATACTTAAATAGAACAAAATAAATATGGAAAGAAGAAAACTAAACTTTAATAATTAGTAGGTTCCATGTACTATATGAACAATGCAAAAACATCGTGGAACATTCCATAGATACTACACGAACAAGCAAAAATATACCACAGAACATTTTATGTGTATTATTAGAACAATTGAAAATAAAATCATGGAACATACTATATATACTACTTGAACAACATATATTACACCATGGGACATCTCACAAACACACTATGCATAGAAATAAAAAAAATGAAGTATAACTATGAATACAAGAAAGAGTGATATACAAGTAAAATAAAAAAAAACTATTTAATTAAAGTAAAATAATGAAGAAGAAAAATAAAAATCTAAAGAAAAAAATAAAAATAACATCACATGATACTATTGATATAAACTAATATGTACTGTAGAACATCCCATTTGTATTATCTAAACATGCCAGAATGGATATATTGTAGAACATCACATGTGTATTATGTGAACATCACAAAATACATCATAGAACACCATATGTATACTATGTGAACATCACACATATACTATGCGAACACCACATATATCTCATGAAACATAGAAAAATTTAAAATAAAAATAAAAATAAATATAGCATAGAACATCACATGTATACTACTAAACAACACAAATACATCACAGAACATCACATTTATACTATGCGGACATTACAAAATATAGCATAGAACGCTATATGTATACTCATTGAACATCACATATATTGTTAAATGTAAAAATCTAAAAAGTAAAAAATAAAATTAGTAAAGTAATTAATTAGAGTCAAATAACAAAGAACAAAACACACAAATAAAACATGAATAACAAATGCTAAATATATAGAAAAAAATAAATGAATACCTTTAATAAGAAAATAAAAAGGAAAATTGATGAAATCACATATATACTATGCAAGCATGATAGGTATACCATCTAACATATGAAATAAAAAACTTGAAAATAAAAAAGTTAAGATATGAAAATGATTAAAATAATAAACTATAGTAAAATGCAAATAGAAAATGAAAAAAATCTACATAAAGCAAAATTTAAAACTTGCAAATAAAAAGTAATTAGAGTAAAAAATGAATAAAATTAATTATTAAAATATAAAGAAAATGATAAGAAGAATAAAAGACCACATAAAAGGAAAAGGAAAAGAAAAGAAAAAGAAAAAGAAAAAGAAAAAGAAAAGGGTTGAATGAAAGGAAAAAGAAAGACAAAAAGCATAAAACAAATAAATCAAATTTAGAAAAAAAATAAAGATTAGAAAAATAAAGAAATAAATATAAGAATAAAAACCTATAGAAAAAAGAAACATAATAATACGAAAGCAAAAAAGAGAGAGAAACATGTACGTACCAGAAATGCGTCCACGGAACCACGCGAGCGATCCGCGCGGAATGCGTCGCTGGCGCAAAACCTAGGTGGACTGTGGGCCGCGCTTGCACACATGGGCCGAAATCTCGATTGCGGGTAGGAAAGGGACTCCACTGCCTCCGTCGTTTGCGATCCGTGGCACCCGTCTCAACGCACCCACCATGGACATCCTCCGCCTGCCTTTAGCCACGAGCGAGCGCGAGATCCCTGCGACGGACCTCCTCCCATGCGCTGCAAGAGGGGAGCGAAGGAGTGTGCATCCCAAGGGAAGAGTGCGGCCGACATCTCTGTCTTCCCCGTAGCCGGCAACCGATCTCGGCGGCGACGTGCACTCCTCCCTGCTCCTTCCCCCGGCGGTTCGGATGGCCGGTGCAGCCACGCCGCGCTCGAGTTCGCCCGCCGCGGTGAGTCTCCCGTGGAGAGCTCTGCTTCATCTCCGAAGAGGTCGGACGCTCTGCTCCCTTTGCTTCCCTTTTCTTTTCCTCATTTCTTTGAGTCTAGGATTTTTTAGTTCTCCGGAGTGACATGTGGCGCGGCGTGCCTGGCCAGCCTTAACAACACGCACCTTAACAAGACGCACACCATCACCTGGGAGGAGTTCAAGAAGAAGCAGGAGGTATGCCCGCACTTTATTTGCAGTAAAAGATACTCATGTTTACAACTTGCTTTCGTTCTTGCACTCCAATATTCAGTGTATCAACATGCTCCTGTAGCACTGACTACTGAGTCACTTGTCTTGTGTTCGTGATACTAACTTGCTCATTGAAAGTCATGATCAAATTTTCTCATGTCAGTTTATGTTCTGATAATATTTTTTTGGTAGATATAATCTCAAATCATGAATTCTGAACTTTTGGATGAATATCTCGAATGCACAGAGATGCTTTATCTATAATATCTCGAATGCACATATGCTTTATCTATAATGTGCTTATAAGAACGAGCAAGTTCCTTGCAAAACCGAATAAATTAGACTGAAAATCTAAGCAAAAACTGAATGCACAAAACCAATCCTTCGAGCTCCACCCAAATGGTATTGAGGGTTAAAAGTTTGATTGTATGGAAGAACTGACTGAAGGCGGGGATGCATGGCTTTCGGTGGACAGGAGCCGGAGGCGTGCGGCTGTGGCTCTGGGGTGTGGCAACGGTGGTGCGGGAAGCGGGAGCGCAAGGCGGCGACGGTGAGGGCAGTGTTGCACGGCAGAAGAGCAGCGACGACGAGGGCAGTGCTACACGGCAGAAGAGCAGCGACGGCAAGGGGAATGCCTCAATGCATGGTAAGTATTTTGAGGCCTCAGATGTTCATATATTTTTTCTTTTTTTGCAATTTGCAAATGTTTGTATACATAGCTTGGATCTATCAGATTTGATAGTGTACAAAACGAGATCGTAGGTTCACTTCAAAGAATTCTTGATAGTTTGTTTGTGCTTTCTTTGCTATTTCAATCTAAAGATCAGGCTTGGTTTATTTTCTTACCATGTGGGTTCCTTTTTATATCAGGATCAGTTTGGGCCTTACTTGGGAGATGCTGAATGTCACTGGTACCTCTCAAAGGTATGGTTTCTCAACCGGAAATACTTGTATATTTAATGTGTTGTTTTAAGGCATATAAATTTTTTTACAGATGCTTTATCTATAATATCTCGAATGCACAGATGCTTTATCTATAATGTGCTTATAAGAATGAACAAGTTCCTTGCAAAACTGAATAAATTAGACTGGAAATCTAAGCAAAAACTGAATGCACAGATACCAATCCTTCGAGCTCCACCCAAATGGTATTGAGGGTTAAAAGTTTGATTGTATGGAAGAACTGACTGAAGGCGGGGATGTGTGGCTTCTGGTGGACAGGAGCTGGAGGCATGCGACTGCGGCTCTAGAGTGTGGCAACGGTGGTGCAGGAAGCGGGAGCGCAAGGTGGCGACGGCGAGGGCAGTGCTGCATGGCAGAAGAGCAGCGACGGCGAGGGGAATGCCTCAATGCATGGTAAGTATTTTGAGGCCTCAGATGTTCATATATTTTTTCTTTTTTTTGCAATTTGCAAATGTTTGTGTACATAGCTTGCATCTATCAGATTTGATGGTGTACAAAGCGAGATCGTAGGTTCACTTCAGAGAATTCTTGGTAGTTTGCTTGTGCTTGCTTTGTTATTTCAATCTAAAGATTAGGCTTGGTTTATTTTCTTACATAGTCTAATAATAAAGAGGTAAAATTTTAGTTTAATTTTTTGGTCCGTCTATTTTTTTTGGGTCCATCTCTCTTTAACTACTAGATAATATATAACACGTGCTCATACAAAGTTAGAATAGCTCTTGTTTAGCATGATATAGAGTCCGATTCTAAAACGTATTGAGTTGTGTATTTTACCTAGACTCATAAGTCATGCTCATATGTTGATGCACACGGACACAATTCACAGTCTCGCTAAGGAAAGAGAGCCAAGCAACGAATCCCTGGCATAAATACAACTCGAATATGTGTTTTATTAAACAAAAAAGGATATTTCAATTTCTAACTCCCTGTCATGAATACAAATCGGATAAGTGCTCTACTGAACAAAGGATATTTAAAATTTTAACTCCCTGGAATAAATTAAATACAACTCGAATACGTGTTCTACTAAACAAATTTAAATATTAAAAAATTTAAAGAACACGATTATACTAGGAAAGGTGTCATAATAGGATAATAATTCGTTTGCGAATACTCGACACGGATAAGTTCGTCTTATATTTACTTCTTAATATAGCTACGTGCCCAAACTACATGTCTTTTTGTTTAATGGCGGCCTTTGGCCGCTGCTGTAAGGAGGCGTGCGGAACCGGGGTTCGGGCCCCGGCCCGCTGGCTCCCACTAGAGCATCTCAACCACTGCGCCCCTTGCCAGCTTGCCGGTGCACCTTGGCTGGCGTATTGTAACAGAACCGACCAATTATACGAAATTAAGTAAGAAAATCATCCGCCAGAGCAGACGATTTAGCAAACTTAAGCCCGTATAATCCGGTAGTCCGTGAAATCACGAAGGATTTCAAACCAACTTTCATTCCAGGCAAGATCGTAATAAGTTTAGCGGTCACCGTCACATATTACATAAAAGTTCGCAATCTCAGATACATCAGAGTTTCAACATAGTTATTATAAAACAAGTTCGAATAAAAGTAGCGGAAGTCATTTGTTCAAACCACACACACTCACGTGGAGTTCAAATATAGTGCCAGCGAATGATCATCTCCATACAAAAGCATCAGACGAGACATAAGGAATGACCATGCCCATGGTCCTAAGCATCACCCATCGCAAGAGTTGATACAGTAGCCGTAATACATCTGCCCATCTGCAACAAGTGGGAATAAAACCCTAAGTACGAGAAGGTACTCAGCTAGACTTACCCGACATAACCGAAAATAAGTGACACCAAGGATTATGAAGGGCTTTATAGTAGGGTAGCTGACTCATTTGCAAAAAGAAGCATTTTTAGCATTTCAAAAATCTTTCTAAAAACATTATTGGCAAGTTAATTATTATTAACCTGTCTACTAGATTTGTACGTACACTAGAGTAAACATGTGATTAACCAGATAATGATAACCAATGATCATTAAACAACTTTCATACTGTCATATTCATTATAACTGTCCAAGTGTTCCATAACATTTACTACGATGAAGTCACTCAAGTCAAGTGCTCACTATCCAGGAGCGATGGCGATTCGAATCGATTCCTAACCAGCTGGTGATTTATTCCTTACACAAACCTCACTCACCCGCTAAAGTGAGATATTGATCACCGAGTCAACTTTCCAGGTATCTCGAGTTTGCCAGGAACCACATGTACCCGGGGGCCGACCGACTGCACTTTGGTCTTATCATCTCGCCCCCGTGTCCTACCACACCTGCTCCGGCACAGTGCGCTGCGGGCAATCTACTCGGCTTGAAAAATCTCCCAGCTTCACGGTCGGAAGGTACTTTATCCGGCCAGCTAAATGTAATGCATGCGTTCAACATGAGTCGAGGCCCAACAACGATCGGTCCTTAATCGACACAGACGGAAACACTACAGTCCAAAACTCTGCAAGTCTCCGTCCGGTCTCAACTTCATTTAACACTTAGTTATACCATGACTTCATAGTCATGCAAGCAGATCCAGGTAACCCCTATAGCTCGCAGGTGACAGGGAATCACCCGACTTCTACCGGTCTAAGCCAGCTAAGCATTGACTCGACTGCGGATACCCGGGTAACAAGGATATAGTATAACAAAGGTAGACAAGGTATAATGCAGCAACGGTTGCAAACAACTCCTGAACGTAATGCATCAATTAAAGTAAAGCATTTAATTAAATTATTGCAAACCGGAAGAAAAATGCTCCGGGGCTTGCCTCTCTCGAAGGAGCTCGGACGGTGATCGGGGCACTCTGGAAGTTCCTCAACGTCCTCCTCGTCGGCTTCTGGCACTTCCTACGGCTGCACCTCGAACTGCTCCTTGGGCTCCTCGGGTATGACGACTGGGTTCTCGGTTTGCGATCCTGTATGATGCAATATGCGTAAGTGCTTATGCAATCGTTGCATCGGATGAAATGAATACAATGAATATGTTTGAATGCAAGGTAGTCAACATCATCCAAGAAAATATACTACAAGCACATGTCATCTACAACATTCTCTTCTACTACTAATATGTTAAGTCAACACATCTTATTAAATGCTTCAAAGATACACCAAAGCAAACATTATTAACTAACTTGCATTTAAGAGGATTATTTTATTTCATTTTAAACTAGGGCTACAACAGCAACCTATATTTTTGGTGCTTATAAAAATCTAAGAAAATTACAGTAGCATAGTACTACTCTAAGTAGACTACCATAAAATTTTCGTGGCACTTGGATAAGTAAAATAGTCTACACAAAAATGACAAGGCATAAGTGCTTAAAAAGGCATAAATAGGAAACCTTAGTTAAAAGTGTCAAGCAACAGATTTCTCATTTTCCTAGTATCACTCGATCATAAGAATATCACTCAACAAATTTTACCTTTACTGGATCTATAGAAAAATTATGAAAATTCACACAAGTATTAATCAATGATAAAAGGAAAATCTATAACTCAAAAACCACACATGCACTAGCTCTGAAATTTTAACCAGAGCTTCTACTAAGCAAGACTAGCATACCCACAAAATTTCATAATTTTTGGACCACAGAAACTTAAGATAAAATTTCAACAAGTTTGCATGCATCTAAAAACATTTCAAAGTCCTATTTAATTCATCCAAAATTTCTAAAACCTGTGCTCATCTAATATTTTTATTAAATACTAGACATTACCAGGAACTCAACAAAATTGGAACCATAACATTTGGATCTACCAAACTTGATTTACATATTTTTGAATCGTGCACACAAATCATGAAAAAAAACAAAATAAACAAAACAAAAAGGAAAACCTAATCACTCTTCGGGCCACCCGATCGGATTAGGCGGCCCACGATCAGCGCGCCAAGACACAGCCCCGTAATCGGCGCAGCCGACTCCGGTTCCCTCACAAAGAATGGCGGTCGACAAAGGGGCCCGCACGTCGGCAAAAAGCGAGCACGGCGACGAATGGCGCGAAACGACGCCATCTCGTCGGCGGCGATTTCTCCGGTGGAACCGAGGCGATGGCGTGCCCACCTCGGCCTCCCGCATCCATAACACTCCTAAAACTAGACTCTAGTGGACTCCGGGGCGTCGGCCGCCATGGCCTGGCGGCTCGGCCGTGGCGCCTGGCGGTGCTCGGCGAGCCCCGGCGGTTGGTAGCCATACAAAGCGCCGCGAAAGCTTTGGTGAACAAGACAGACCTTCCTATGCTACGGCTAACGGCTACGGTGAAGCGGTCAGGCGGGACCGCGTGAGATCACCGGCGGCGACCATGGCGGCCATGCCGCGGTGGTGCATGGTTCGGCAATGCCGCTCACCTACAGCTTGGCTGGCTCCGTGAGGGCGCTGACGAGGTCCGTGAGGCGATGGCGGCGCTACGGTTTGGATGGTGGTGGCTGTGGCGCCGCGGCGAGCTCGAGCGAGCTCGGCAGAGCTGATGGCGTCGGCGGTGCGCTGTGGCTATGAATGGGGAAGGCAACGGAGGGTGAATGAGGGCAGAGCGCGCGTGCGGAGGGCAGCAGGGCGCGCTCCTCTTCAAGCCAGCCAGCGCGCTGTGTGGTTAGGGCGAGCCGAGCACGTGGCGGACACGCGGCGGCCGCCATCTGACCCTGGTCGGCCATGAACGGTCTGAATGCATAACACTGTAGCGCGATTCAGAGAACAAGGAACTGACTGACAGCGCCAAATGGTGATGCTCTATCTCCTAATCCGTTGATCGTTAGCGAAAGAAATCAAAACAAAAGTTGTACACCTACATGCCAGCTACAAAACCCCTTTAGAGATCAATGTCTAATTCGCAAAGGACAGAGAGTAAAATCATGCCAAAGTCGTGCTCAAGAAATTGAAAAATGGAATTTATACTTAGAAAATTTCTAAGTGTTGAACCCGACCCAATTTCTGACTTGTGGGACCATTTAGAGCATGTTGTGCACATTTTCATGACTTGGTCACAAAATAACTTTTGTTCCTTATATAATTTGCTACAAATTTGTTTTAGGTTGCTCAGACATGCAAACATTCTAAGTGATACTTTTTGAACAGTCAAACCAAAGAGTCCTAGGGTCAAAACAAGTCAACCCATGACTTGGAAACTTAATTAGACAAAATGATCAACATGAACATTGTTTCTAATGACTTTCTAAGCATAGCTAGGATGTTTAACAATATATTTAGCCATACCCCACATTGGTCATACAATAATCAAGCACTGAATGTACTGAAACGATGAAAAACAATTGAAATGATACTTTTGTTTCATAGTCATGTTTCACCTGTTTCGGGATCTTGTTGCATTACAATAACTAGCTAGGTTCCACTAAAGTGAGTTGCACATGTTGCACTTGGGTGTTGCACACTCTTTAATTCACAAAAACAACACTCATGAAATATACAGTACGTTGCAATGTTTCGATAACATGTTTCATGTGATATATGCTCATGAATGGATGAATGATGCTCACGTTCATGACATGCAAGTGCAATTAGGCAAGACTAACACCAGGGTTGTTACAGCCCTCCCCCCTTATAAAAAT